TAATTGTAGGCAAAAGATATTTTAAGTATATACCAATAATATCATATTATTCTTAAAATAGTGTAAAAATATGAATTATATTTATTATGGAAATGTAGTAAATAATCAAAGAGATTAATTTTTTATTTTAATTGAAAAAATAATACTCAGTGTCAAAATATTCATAACAAAAAAATAAATCATATAAATTTATTACCACAGCAAAAGTAACACTTTAATTTATCTTCAAAACATAAATCATACAAAAAATATAGCAAAATAGTTAAAAATGCACTTAAATGTTGCAGAAAATAGCCTATAACAACAATTAACATTAAATGTATACTTAATATACTACCATACTGTCGTTTTTTATTTATTCAATACATTTATTATTTTATTCGATTAATATACTTGAAAATTTATAAATTATTTATAGATTAAAAATATAGAGCTTAAAGTTAAAAAATAATAATTTATTATAGTAAAAAAATATATAATTATTCAAAAATAATAAATAAACATTGCAGTAATTCTTTTTATTTAGATCGTTAAAAATTCTCAGTTTCAAAAATTTCATAAACAAAAAAATAAATCATATAAATTTATTAACTATAGCAAATACATTAAAGCGTAAACTTAATTTATCTTTACTTTAATAAGAAGTCTAATGATATATGATAGAAGATTTTAAAACTCTTATTTACATTTCAAAATAGTTAAATAGTATCATTTTTAATGGTTCCCTGATAATAATAATAAGTTTAGTATCATTGCATTGTCGCTCATCTTGTACAATATATTTTTATTGACATCATGTGATCAGACAAACATTGTTAATATATTGAATTCACTTCTTAGGGTAGATAAATGGACATTCAACCATGAATACAACTGGTATGATATCGGAAACTGTATTTCCTTTGAAACAAATGATTTACTCATATCTGATTCTAACAGTAAGAATATTGTTACCAAAGAAAATGTACATGACAAAATAACGATAGTTTTGTAATTATTAACTTATGAATACACTAAAATTCTACACTGGCTTGGTGTGAATTAAATATTATAAATGAAGAATGGATGACTATTTAAAAAAAAACCTGGCACAGTGGGGTCGTGGCATAGTTGGGTCCAGTATAGATGATATCTAACAGTGATTAAAATCACTATCATAAAAAACTCTTCAATGCTAATCTGTAGAAAGTGTTTAATTTTGAAAAATTGATGGATTATTCCAAAAGCTACTTGATCTCCTATCTCCTTATTAATATCCTGATTACAAGTTTTATTAATTTTAAGTGTATTATATGAATATATATATATTGTATAAATATATAAAGGTAAATGGGTTTATTTAAAAAAAAAGTAAGTCGAATGAAAGAGGTATATAATTAGTATTTATTATATAATAATTGTATTGAGCCATATATTTTTCAAAAAGTTATAGCATTATAAAATAAAAAATATAAAAAAGAATTTTTTTACAAAGATCTTATTTTTTTATTAACTTTAATGTTAGTTTTCACTATGAAAACAAACTAAAGTCTGAAATTTTTTTTTTCGTAATAAAGTATATTACATAAGCTTTAATTTAAGATATATTTAAAAGTGTCAGTATTTCCGGAACACTTCAAAAAATAAAATTAAAAAAGTTCTACTTTCTTTAAGTAATTTTTAGTTTTTAACCCCCCCTATAAGCAGGTAAAGAGTCAAATTTATAAAAAAATATACCAAATGATAGGTAAAGACTTGATGCATCTATCAAAAAAACTATGTCAATTAGATTGATATAATATTTATGAAAATCAGTGTAATCCCCATATAATAAAATAAAATACAAAACCAAGAATATTAACACAAAAATAGCATATTTTTGAATACGGTAGCTATTTTCACCATGAAGACAAAATAAAGTACAAAATTTTTTTTTTAATATTAAAGTATATTACATAAGCTTTAATTTAAGATATATTAGAGTGTCAGTATTTCCGGATCACTTTCAAAAATTAAGTTGAAAAAATTCTACTTTCTATACGCATTATAAAGATTTGAACCCCCCCTGTATTAAAGTAACTGGTCCGATTTATAAAAAATATGTCTAATTAAAGAGGTATATAAATATTATTTCTCATAAAAAATTGTATTGATCCATACAATTTTCAAAAAGTTATAGCGTTATAAAGTTAAAAATATGAAAAAGAATTTTTTTACAAAAATCGTATTTTTTTTATTAACTTCGATGTCTGTTTTCACCATGAAGATAAAATAAAGTCCGAAATTTTTTTTACCATAATAAAGTATATTACATTAGCTTTATTTTAAGATATATATAAAAGTGTCAGTATTTCCGGAACACTTTCAAAAGTTAAGTTGAAAAAGTTAATTTTTTATAATAAAATTGTTGTTATGAATCCCCCTTGTGGGCAGGTGAAGGATTAAATTTCTTAAAAAAATACATCAAATGGTAGATAAAGATATTATGAATCTATAAAAACAATTTATATTGATATAATCATTATTGAAAAAGTTAAGGCAGTTTTAAGTGAAAAAAATTAAAAAAATTAGCGATTTTTAAATTTGTAATTTTTTTAGAGGTTTCCCCCATTTAAGGGGAACGAGGGAAATTTTTTCAATTTTTGAGGGTAATGTCTTCGACTAGATACAATTTATGATCTTTAGACGTATCGTTGAAAGAAATCGGTTCAGTGAGAGCTGAGAAAAAGTGGTAACAGACACAAAAAAAAAAAACACATCATAGTAAAATTTTTTAGCTTCGCATCGAAGCTAAAAGTTGGTTGTATGGTGATAATCTCAACTCTTGTGAGTTATACAACAATCAAAAGGATCGTAAAAATAAATTCTTTTTAGTTTTCGATAATGTAAAAGCAATATCAAAACGCTTTCTAGGTGCATTATAGTTCATGAACACTTTAGATTCAAGTGTTCAAACGGAAAATGTTATTACACTTATTGGTTTATTAAAGCGCATTTCCTTTTATCCAGACTTGCATCTATCGGTTGGGTTGGGTTTTTCTACTAATGATAGTGGAACAAGGTCATGAACAGCTTTTATCACCTCAGATGGGTTATATCAATTTATACGCATCCCCTTCGGTGTGACAAACGGTCCAGCAAATTTTTCCAAACAAATAACAACTGCTCTATAATCTTTTTTTGTTTACTGTGGCATCAGTTTATTTAGACGATGTAATAATGCCAAGTGAAACTGTCGAAGAAGGTTAAAAAATTTAAAATAGTTTTTCAAGCTCTTAGAGAGGCTGGTTTGACTTTAAGAATTGACAAGTGTAGGTCTTTTATGACTAAGATAGTGTACTTAGGATTTGAAGTAAATAAAGACGGTATAGAATTAGTGACGAGAAAAACGTTAGCTATTAAGAAATTTCCTATATCAAAAGATGTCCGAGTTGTGCGTAGTTTCATAGGTTTAGCGAGCTATTTTTGTAGATTTGTTCGTAATTATGCTCTTAAAGCAGGACCCCTTACAAATTTGTTGAGTAAAAATACTAAATTCGAATGGAGTACTGAACAACATAATACTTTCCAAACAATTTATTGTACAAAAACCAATTTTCAAAATGTATAACACTGTCTGAGTGTAACTATACTATTGAATACATAAGTAGGTTTTTGTAATTCAGCACCAGATGCACTTAGTCGCAGTCCCGTAGAGCCCGTTGAAACAATTGAAACAGCTAATTTATACGTAATTGGTATTAAAATAACTACAGTCTCGGTAGCATCAATACAGCGAAACAGTGTTGAAATTGTAGAAATAATAGAGAAAATTAATGATAAAGACTTGAAGGTAACAAACAAGTATGATTTAGAGGATGTTCGGTTGTACAGAAATACCAAAGGAAGAAGGCGTTTGTATTTACCCAAAGGAATGAGATATGATATAGTTAGTAAAGTCCATCGTCATTTTTTACATTTGGATATGGATGAAACTTTATCAAAAATAAAAATAAGTTATTGTATTCCTAAAATAAAAAATTTTGTTATATAGTATGTAAATAAAAGTATAAATTGTTTATATAACAAGGTACCAAATAAAGGAGCTACTTATTGGCATCCTTTGGATAAGTGTAATCAACCAATGTTAGCTGTACATTTAGACCATTTGTGTTAACTGATAGGGACAACAAGTATGTGTCGACTTTGTAATATTCTCCTCTGGAACATTACAAAATCAATACTTCTTTTATTTCTCTACCTTTAATAAACAATACACTGTCTTTGAGACACCACAAAAGTATTAAATAAAGAAAATTAATTAAAAGTAACTGGTTTGCCTTGATTGGAGTACATATTGATGACTCAATATGCCTATAAAAAAGTATTATACATTCGAGACGCTCAATCCTTGTTTGTGGTACATTATATAAGGGCTGAGGCCCCTGTTTTTCCTCTCACTCTTTTGTCTCTTTATCTCACTCAACAATCTCTTTTAACAAGTAACTATTTAAGATTATTCTCTACATATTGTAGTGTATTCTTTATACTGTGTCTCTATATTTTTAACTTTTCTTATTTAGTCTAAAACGCACATTTATTAAAATAACTAACACTTTGCTTAAAGATATATACGCTTATATGATTCCCATATAATTCTCTTTTATTAAATTATCTACTATAATTTTAAATAACACTTAACAACAGCAAATCAACAATCGAGAATCTATCATCAGTGAATATTAGGTAAGGGTAGTTTTAATACACTAACTACACTAATTAAGTAATAACTAGAAACAAAGTATTTGTATTTATTGTGTCTTTATGGATAATGCATTATCATTCTTCTTTATTACCATCCTAATCAACTTTATTTTTAGTTATTACAACTTTTATAGATGGCTATAGTGAGTAAGTTATTGTGAGTGTGGAGGAAACAAAAGCGTACGTACGACTTATTGTATTCTATTATGGCAAGCCACTTAAATTATTAGCGATCGAGGTTTCGCCTATACTTCAGTGATTTTTGAAAATTTTTCTAGAGATCATAATATTATACAAGTAAAATCTGCAATCAAGAGTCCTAGAAGTAATGGTCAAGTTGAGAAAACAAATGGTACTGTTATCAAATGTTTAACTATGATAACTGAAAGTGGGAAGAACAGAGATTGGGATATAAAGTTAATGGAAGTAAAATGGTCAGTAAATTATAGTGTACATAGCTATAAAGCAAATGGATTAATTACTAATAGTAATACTAATAGAAAAAAATGAAATTGTTAAGATTAATATGCAATCAGGGAATTTTATAATTACTATTTACAGTACATTTATCAGAAAAGTTAGATTTATTTACATTTTTATCGTAATAGATCACTTAAATAAAAATCATAGTAATCATTTTTAATTAACTTTTGGCGTTTAAAAACATTCTACAATGGAAATATTCAGAATTTAATTAATTTTAATGATTATATATATAAAAAAACCAATAAAAAAAAAGTTATTCAATTTAGTCTATTATAAAATAATAATTATAAAAAAATAGGGCAGTGTTTTGCCTTTATAAGATATTTTAAAATAAAATAAAATACAAAACCCAGGATTTTAACAAAAAAATATAATATTTTTGAATACGGTAGCCATTTGCACATAGAAGATAAAGTGTCGGGACAAATTTTTTTTTTTAATTTTATAGTACATGACATAAGCTTTAATTTGACATATGTTTAACGGACGCAGTATTTCCGGAACACTTTCAAAAGTTAAGTTGAAAAAGTTCTACTCATTATACGTATATTACAAGTTTTGAACGACCTCTGAATAAGGGTGAATTGCCCGATTTAAAAAAAAAGTAAGTCGGATGAAAGGGGTATATATAATGTATTTAGAAACAAAAATTTGTGTTAATCTATACATTTTTCAAAAAGTTATAGTAATTTAAAGTTTAAAATTTAAAATCGAAAATTTTAACACAAAAATATAGTTTTTTTTAACTACGGCAGCCATTTACATGCAGAAGATAAAGTGTCGGGACAAATTTTTTTTTTTCATTTTATAGTAAATAAAATAGCAAGTAAGATTAATGAATAAATAAAATTAAAAAATTAAAACAAAAAAATAAAACCCAGCACAGTGGGGTCGCGGCATAGTGGGGACGTTGTATAGTTGGGTTCAGTATAGATTTCTTACTTGCTATATTAAACATCAATAATTGTAGACAAAAAAATATTTTAAGTAAATACCAATAATATCATATTATTTATAAAATAGTATAAAAATATGAATTATATTTATTACGAAAGTGTAGCAAACAAGCAAGGAGGTTAATTTAAATCGATAAAAATAATGGTCAGTGTCAAAATATTTATAACAAAGAAATAAATCATATAAATTTATTACCACAGCAAATACATTAAAGAAACTTCTTTAATTAACTTAAAGAATCATAAATCATACAAAAAATATAACAAAATAGTTAAAAATACACTTAAGTTTTGCAGACAATTTTAATTCAAATAATTATTTATAAAGCCTATAATGTCATTTAACATTGAGTGTATAATTAATATAAAACCATACTGTTGATACTAATAATATCTTTTAAATTTTAAAATAGTGTAAAAATAAAAATCAAATTATATTTTATTTTTTATTTTTTATTGCTAAACTCAACGGGCGTAAAGCCCTTTACAAAATATATAATGATACACAACAGACAAAAATATAAGAAGTCGCATGATAGAATACAAATAAAAATATTTACATAGTCTTTAAAATATAATAGAAACTAAAGATAAACAATTAAAAATAATGATAAACAATTAAGAATAATAATGCTACAGCAGAGTTGATTCTCTTAGGTACAATAAAGTTTTTGATTTAAAAAGTTGGCGTGATAAATTAAAAAAATCAAGTGAGTGTGATATTTTATTGGCTACTCTAAGTGCTCTAGGGAAAAAAGAAAAAGCTCCACTATTTGTCTTAAAATGAGGAATAACGAATAAATCTAGGTTACGTGTATTTAAAACAGGGATTCGAAAACCAATAATTTCTAGTAATTCAGGACAAAGAATATGACCATTGAGAATATCAAAAATAAACATTATGTCCGCTAGAGTTCGTCTGAGGGACAGACTATCAAGGCCAAATGTTTCCTGTAGTGGAATAACTGAATTTTTCGAGTAGGGAAGATTTAATTTGTATGAAATATTTTTAAGAAACTTATTTTGAACATTTTCTAGTTCGGCATAATAGGTAGAAAGATTTTGCGACCAAACAACTGATCCGAATTCTAAGTTAGATCTGACCAATGAAGAAAAAAGTGTTTTCAGGCACTGCAGGTTACTGAACTCATTAGTGTTTCTGTTTAAGAAACCAAGCATTTTATAAGATTTGCTGAGGATTGTTTTATGATTTATTTTAAAACCAAGATCATTGTCAAAATAAATTCCTAAATCTTTAATAGAATTAACTCTCGACAAAGAAAAATGATTTATTGTATAACGATGAATGAGGGGATTCCTTTTGCGAGTAAAAGATATTATTTTGCACTTATCTATGTTAAGAGGTAAGTAATTTTTTTCACTCCATAAAACAAATTTGTTTAAAATCAATTGAAGATTTGTTTGATCAATAACAGAATTTATCTTGCAGAAGATTTTAGCATCATCAGCAAATAATAACATGTGTGTCTTATTAGAGTCATCCAACACAAAATGGGGTAAATCATTAATAAAAATTAGAAACAGCAAAGGACCTAAGTGGGATCCTTGAGGAACCCCCGAAGAGACCTGAAAGTTATAAGATGTATGGAATGAGATTTTGATGGCTTGAATTCTATCAGTGAGGTACGAGTAAAGCCATTTAAGAAAAGTACCATCAATACCAAAAGATTTCAATTTATAATATAGTAAGATATGGTCTACTTTATCAAAGGCTTTCTGGAAATCCGTGTATAAGGTGTCGACTTGAAACCCCTCATCTAAGGCATTAATAAGATAATTTTGATAAACTAATAAGTTAGTAAAAATCGAGTGTTTTGCCAAGAAACCATGCTGAGTGGGACTAATATAATTTAACAATATGCTAGACAGTTTTTTTGTAATAATAGCCTCAAATAATTTAGGTATAGAGGAGAGTTTAGAGATTGGTCGATAGTTAGTGATATCGATTTTGCTGCCAGACTTGTGTATGGGCGTAATAAATGATTTTTTCCAAAAACTAGGAAAGACTCCGGTTGATAATGAAAGGTTAAACAAATAGTGCAAGGGTTTAACAAGCACTGAATAGCATTTTTTTAAAAATATCGGTGGAATACCATCTGGGCCACTAGATGATTTATCATCACTTGATAATAAGTAGTCTAAAATTTCATTTTCAGTAATGGACATCGAGATGATATTTATATCATGAATATTAACACTAAGAGATTCAAGAATATAATTCGACAAATTGTTTTTAACATAAACTGAGGAGAAATGGTTAGCAAATAGTTTACAGATATCATTTAAATTATGAGCATGGGTATTTTCTAAAAACATTGACATCGGAATATTAGAGTTACTTGATTTGAGAGATTGAATATATTTCCAAAATGATTTTATATTAATATTAATGTTTTTTTCTATTTTAAGAATATAATTTAATTGGAGTTGTTTAGATAGTTTCTTACATTCTTTACGTAAATTAGAAAATATAGAGTAGTCAGATAAAGAATTAGAAATTTTGTATTTTTTATGAGCAGATTTTTTGAGTTTAATTAAATTTCTTAAGTTATAATTGGACCAGCATATATTGTGATCAGAGTTGAGATCCAATTTTATCTTTGGAACTAATACATCAAAAGAATGATTTATAATTTCATGGAATTTTAATACGGCACTTTCTAGGTCTAAAGTATAAATATTATCCATAATATCTATACAAGATAAGAGAGCAAGAATGTCATTAAAATTACAGGAATTAAAGTTGAAAATTTCAGGATATATAGACTGGATAGCGGGAGTAGTGATTGTAAAGGAAGAGATAAATTCTAGAGGTGGATGATATAAATCAATAAGAGGTATAAGAGAATAGTTTGAGGAATGAATAAAATCTGCAGTAGAGTTTGTAAATATTAAATCCAAAATACCCTTATGATTGTTGATTATGTTATTAACCTGCTTTAAATTTAAGTAATCAATATAAAAATTAACAAGGACAGAAGAAATTGGATTTCTAAGTAAATTAAAATCACAAGTAGAGAATTCATTTAAGTTAAAATCACCAACAATAATAATATTTTTAATGGAGTATTTTACTAAAAAATGTTCAATTATGTCGCAATGCTTGTTATATAAATCAATATTGGAATTTGGTGGAAAATAAACGCAACCTAGAAATATATATAGATATATATAAATATATATATCTATATATATATTAAATATATATATAGATAAATATATATAGAAATATAGCAAATAAGTATTACGGTTAATGCTTTATTTTAAGCGATAACCGCAATGTCAAAATTTTCATATATCAAAAAATAAGTCATATAAATTTATTAACTATACCAAATACATTAAAGCGTAAACTTAATTTATCTTTACATTAATAAGACGTCTAATGATATATGATAGAAGACGTTAAAACTCTTATTTACAGTTCAAAACAGTTATATAGTATCGTTATTCATATTTCCTTAAGAAAAATAATAAGTTTTGTATTGAACTTTGTTCAGTGTATTTACAATTAATATGAAATCGTTCACTATTATCGCATTGTCGCTCATATTGTACAATATTTTATTATCGGCATCATGTGATCAGACAACCATTGTTAATATATTGAATTCACTTCTTAAGGCAGAAAAATGGTCGTTCAATCATGAATACAAGTGGTATGATAGGGAAAATGGTACATCCTTTGAAACAAATGATTTACTCATAACTGTATCTAACAAAGAGAATATTGTTACTATACATAATTATTATGACAAAATAATAATGGCTTCGCAATTGTTAACTTATGAGTACGCAAAAATTGTACACTGGCTTGGTATCATATTATATTTTATGAACAATGAATGGTTTTATTGCAATCCTAATAATTCTTACGAGACTCAAAAACAACGTAAGAATTCATTTGTAACAACTTTCAAAACAGTAAATCAGGTATTAACACGCTTCCTATTGGCTTTAAATTTTATAAA